GAGGTGTGGTTAGAAATTGAATACTTGGTGCCAAAGGTAGATGTATTTTCAAACATACTAGCTGGACATTTTAGTGCTGTGACCTCATTTAATGAGAACCAGGTAAAATTAGGTAAGACGTGATGGTTAGCAGTCATATGACTTGCTAACAAATATAATTTCACCATGTTCTGTAGATATCCCAAAGTGTTAATTACAACAGTTAAGTTCTTTGGAGCGGTTAAATTCTTTGGCTCTGAAAGCATGGCAGGTTTTACTGGGTGTATCACCTGGTAACTGGGCATTATTAAATATAAAGAGACTGAAAAACTGGTAGAAGCAATGGGAAAGTCTGGCCAGCATGGGCAGTGTGTTTCAGAACTATCAAGAAATCTGTTAACTATTGCTGCTGTAGGACCAATTTGATTAGGAAGTGGGACAAGCTGTTCCTTTCATTACACCAAAGCCACATTGCACTCTGTATCAATTATTTGGCTGTCTGCAGCATGCAGATTAGAATAAAGGGCTTTCTCAGTGTTTGTGAATGTTGTGGATTGCTGATTAGTAATTAGAGTACTGAATGAGGGAAATTAGGCCAAGATTGAATGGGAATGAGAAAGTCTTAATTCAGTAATACAGATGTTAGAAACAGATTGTCTCGAACAGCTCGTTCAGCAGGGTGACATTGTACATTTCCATGGTGTTATTTGCTTCCCATGTAAGACTCAAGTCAAATGCCTTGGAGATGGTTTCCTCTTCTATGCCTTGTGATGTAGCTGTATGGCCATTAATTTAGTGAAATATCCTGTTTGCCAGGTGTGGGAACTAGCTGATTTTATTGTAATACCAGATCATTACTTAATTCATATGCAACAGAGCCCAGCACATGGAAAGCATTATAAATCTATTTACAATGTGGCTGGTCTGATGATAACATTGCATTAAATTCCCAGGTGAGGCAATTTAAGCAATTGCTTTGCCATGTGCACGACATGGAAATTAAATTCTCATATATGCTTTAGTAATAAACCAACCTCATTGTTATGTTTTTGCTATGGTAGGCTGTAGAACCTCATTCTGGTTGCAGATTCTGTGTGTCCCATATAGAGTCATACAACAGGCAGTACCAAAGGTGACAATTTGTAATTAATTAAGACTACATTAATTCATGTTGTTCCCAGTTTTGCAGTGTGTGACCATAGACACAGTGAGTTCAACTGGTGAATGTCAAAGTGTAGGTCAAATAGATAGATTATTTCAAGCCAAATTTCTAGACCAAACTGAACAAGTGTCTTTATTTGAATTTGACTTAAAAAAAAAAAACCAGCCAGTCAGTATGCAAGCATCCTGCTCATATCAACCAAAAATCTCTTTGCATCTGATATTCTTACTTTCATAACTACAGACTCACTTTTGTTATCATTTTAGAGTAGTGAGAGAAACTTGATACCTCTAATTTCTCAGGGGAAACAAATCTATCGTTAATTTGTCACATTTTTGTCGTATCTGTCGTATAGAGTTTTTTCGACTTTATCTAGTTCATTTGGAATATGAAGTATTAAATCATAGAAAGGCAAGTTTTACATAAGCACACAACTAAAGTGAGGACTGCTCTTAAATGAGTGTGTGTTCTCGCGTGTGAGTGTGTCCGTGTCCGTGTCCGTGTCCGTGTGTGTGTGTGTGTGTGGGTGTGTGTGTGTGTGTGTGTGTGTGTCCGTGTCCGTGTCCGTGTGTGTTTGAAATACTGTCATCTGAAGCTTTTTCACCCTTACAATATAGGCCAGAAATTGCAGTAGATTACAAACTGCACAGAGCTTGGGACTTCTCCTGAAGCCCCACCTAAAGCACCAGTAGACAGTGGTAACTGACAACCAAGACTAAAAATGTTGACAATTTCTTGATTTGCCTGGTTAGCTTATGTATAGAAGTCATTAACTATTTATAAAATGCATTATGAATTGAGTTCCTTCAAACTGTAGCTGAATGTGTGACATTTCCAGCTCAAATTCTCATGCTTGCATTTGGTTAAAGTACAGATTTTATAGTCTTAATAATAAAGGAAAATATTTTAGGTTTATCAAGATGCACTAAGAGTGTCATTTCATTAACTTAGAACCTTCTAAACTCAGGAAGTATGTAGGTATTTAGTAATCCAGCATGTTTTTTTTTTTTAATTGCATAACAGAAAACATGATTTATTGATGTTTTAGGAACAATTATCCTTAAAACAAGCCATTTGTCATTTTTTTTTTTTTTTGGTTTCAACCAGTGCAGTGATGATTTCAAAGAATGAGGTATGGTTATTTACATACAGTCAGCTTACTTAAAAATTCAAATGTTAAGAAATTATGAGAAAATGCCAATGTTGGGCTCCCAAACATCAGTCTTCACAAAGAACAGCCTGTATTTGTTTTACTTTTGGAAAATGGAGTTCCCTTTTCACATCTTGCCCCTCTCATAGGGAGTTACCCCTGATGTTTGCAATGAAATGTCCCTTCAGTTCTTTGAGTCAGTCCTCCCAGGAACCACTGTGTTATGCTCGCATATCATTTGCTTAATTACATCCAGAAAAGCCCTCCAAGACTAGCCTCTCCTTTGGTGAGGTGTGACTTGCACAGAGACCACCCTTCACCTGTGCATGCATCCTCCTCTGGCTGAGCCAGGACCCTTGATTCCTGCTTGTCCAAGCAGCACCTCCTAACCAGAACAAGATTAGATACTCAGGGCTCTACATTTGTGATTTCCTCTTCCTTTGCAGTATGCGAAAGCTAAATAAGGACATAATGGAATTGAACAATCTATGTCAATTTGTTGGTATTTTGGTGAAAAGGGGGAAACAAAAACTATGTCCATATGATATTTTTGGCTCTCGTGGAATGTTTCAGTCCCCCATCGTGACGGGATGAATAATGCAAAGGGCAGCTCTGATGCGTCAGCCCATCTTAAAGCCCTCATTTCCTTTAATGCCCTAAAACACGTTGGCCTCGCTGGCTTGAGACTGATGATGGGGGTCTTCAAATGGGCACAGAGGTTTGGCATGATGGAAATATTTTACCGTGGCCGACCTTGTAACTTAACAGTTTAAATACTGTTCTGTGAGAATCCATAGTAGCTTCAGCAAGAGAAGCAGGTTAAGCGCATGCTCTTTGTGGTGAGAACATGTCTGCAGAGTTCACAAATGAATGGGTTGGGGCACTCATGAACTTTTAAGAGACTGTGTATAGATGTCCTTACTAAGCACATACCAAGGACTCCTGTCTCTGATGTATTCACTTCTCTGCAACACCACTGTGGTTTGATTTATCTACTCATGGAGACCTATTTCTGCTGCTAGATTTTAGGACATGTTTGTGGCAGGAAAGAATTGTTCAAGAGGGAGACTCTGGGCAGGCCGGGGTGGGTGCCTCTGTCTCCTTTATGCTGAAATATTCTATGTGAGTCTTATCTAGACCAGTTTATAAGGAGAAGAAACTCTCAGCTAAACATTATGATCCTGAGATTTTAGGCTCAACTGAAGGAGAGTTACCTTTAGAATTCTATACGACTACATTGTTTTCCTCAAACAAATATCTGGGTGGCGTGTGTGTTTATTTATATTCCAGTAAGCCTTTTAAAACTGGGTTCTGCTAGATTCAGCATATCATTTGCTTAATTACATCCAGAAAAGCAATAAACTGAATTATATGCAATAAGCCAAATTCTCTTTTATGTGCCACACTTGGGAGAATTGAGAAAATAGTCAAAAATTATTTCCTGTGTTTTGTGCTTCAGATAAGGCACCCACTTGAGAAAGACTAGCTTTTTAAATGATCTGAAACTCAGTGGTTGTCCTTGTCTGAGATTCCTTTAAATAATATGATTTTAAGGTATAATGAGTCGATTGAGGCTCATTGAGGACTGTAAAAACTGAATTGAGTCTTAACCGTTGCCTTTTGCTTCTGGATTACAGGTAGTCCTTTGAAACTGTAGTAACGTTTTTTCCAGATCATAGAAGAACAAGTAAGAACCTTAAGTCCTACACTGTAGGAACCCAGGAAAGACAGGATAGCTTCCCGTCCTCTGTTTTCTAATTGACCATTTTTACTTAGTTAGTTGAGAAGCAGAGTAGGCAGCAGAATGACTTTTAACCCTGAAATGGTAAAGATGAAGTAGGGACTGATAACCAGACTAAGTTTCACAACTAATTTTCAGAGGCTCCCAGCTTTCCCAAATGTGTGTATTTAGATAAACCACGAGTGGCTTAGAGCCATGTCCCTCTGTTTACAGGTAAGGGCAGGGCCCCTGAAAAACACGGTTTCATTGACAATGGTGACTCAAGGGAGCCTACTTACTGCCTTTAGTTACAGGAACTGGGAACTTTGTTTGCTTCACCAGTGTCTGTCTGTCTGTCTGCTCCCCTCCCCCACCTTCTCTCATTTCTCTCATTACCATTACTTTTCCTTAGGCCATTATTTATGGAGGAGTTGGAGATGTTTGAATTACTGCCAGCTAGGGAATGGCTCTACAACCCCTTCTCTTCCTGTATAGTAACATCACAATGATGAAACATAGATGTGCTTGTCCAGGCATCCCAGTGTACAGTTGGTGGTAGAAATATTAGCCTGGAAGTGAAGATTTTTAGCACTCAAATTGTACAGTGCATTTCCTACTGCGACTCCCATATACTCCTGTTTTAATTACAGTCTTTGAGTTTTAAAACTATGCAGCTATATATCTCTATTTCTTCCACTTTAGTGGTTTTATTCAAACAACGTGCAGAAGAATAAATTAATTCTAATCTACTTATGAAAAATAATAGAATATTAATACAAAGCAGGAATTTCTTTCATCATTGTATTTCTTCTTAAAACAAACTTCCAATTTCCTCAAAGCTCCTGGGTTAGGCTAGCACATCTCTGCCGGTAGGTTTCCATTAGGGGCTTTCGAGGGCTGGAGATGGCACTCCTTGCTACCAAGAATGCTTGGATGCGTTTACTTGCTAACGTTCATCTCGCTCTTTCCCTTTTTGTTTTGTTTTATAGAAAAGGTCACGGATCGCCTACAGTGACGAAGTACGGAATGAGCTTCTAGGGGATGATGGGAATTCCTCGGAGAACCAGGTAGAATGCTAATGCAGAAGGCCCGGTGGGTGGCTGGAGGGTGACGGAGGTCACAGACACGCTGGGCTCTCAAGCTGCTACCTAACAGCATTAGCAGCAACTCATGTGGAAGCGATACTGTTTAATGCAAAGCTGGAGTCTTAATCAACTTCAAAATGTTTCTTGGAGATCTTACATTTAACCCTTTACCTTGTGATCACTGTCTGCTATCTTTTAGAAAACTCTTTTCTTCTCTTTTCTTTATTATTTAGTACTTAAGGAATAACTTGAAACACGCTGTTTGCAGACAAAGCCAAGGTCTTCCCCTCAAACACATGTAAGAGGAATAAAAAAGTACAGAATGCAGCTTTGATAGGGATGCAGCATAATTAAATCAACACTTGCAGCAAAACAAATGAAAGTGAAGCTCTCACAATTCAGCAACACAGCCCTGGCTCCCATTGTGTCGCTTCTTAAAAATACATTCACCAAAATGCAAATGGAAGCACCAGTGTGGGACTTGTGTGCACACCCAGGCAGAGGCCTGCCCCTGTGGAATGACAGTGGTGACAATAGCAGTAGGATAAGCCCTGCTTGCACCTTAGGATCTGCATACAGAAAAAAAAACAAAACAAAAGAAAACAAAACAAAAAAACTATGGAACAGTTTCTTCTAAAAAGGTTCTTACAACTTGTCTGCCATTCCTCATTGGATGGCACAGTCATGACATGAATCTAATTAGCACCGTACTTCTTTCTTTGAATTAATGCCGCAGACATCATAAGTTCACATAGGTATGATACATACAACTCTTTTTAAAAAGTGTCTCAAGACCCTTGGTGTAAAACTGATTTTGAAAAGTCTCACACAACCCTAGGGACTGATGGGTAACAGGGAGCATCATAGGTAAGACCTAAATATGTTTTACTAAAGGCAGGTCTTCTAATGGTTGCTTCTCTGCTGACTTGGACCACTCACTGGGTAAAACGGAGCTGTGATTCTATTGGAAGACGTAGCACATCTGTCCAGGATGCTAAAATTTGCAGAACGCACTTCCCACTTCAAGGAGTTTCTGTTTATTGATCCTAAATTACACACCATCAGAGTATGAGCATCGTAACCTGGGAGGAGGCTGGTGGGACAAAGGGACCCATTCATCCACTCGAAAAATGGGAGAAGAATCACTGAGCAGGCCATTTGTTTTGTTCACTATTTGAATGGTATCAGGCTGAGTTCAGACATCGATCAGATTTGATTTGCAATTTCAACTTCCCTGACTGAAATGTGAGAACAGCTAAAGTGGGTGGTGGTGGGGCAGAACAAAAATAGAGGGCAATGTTGTGAGGGGTTTTCCCTGGTAATAGATAAAACGGCGTGAGGATGAGAGTAGGATGCTGTCTGCCTTTAACAGTGGGATTGGGCTGTGCAGGCCTCTTGGATGAATGGATCACAATTGTCTTCTCGAACTACTGATTAAAAAAAAGCATTAAAGAAGAAGAAAACCCCCCAAAACATAAAAAGGTGTTTGTGTAGCTCCCAAAAGCTGTAGACTTTCCCTCATCTGAAACTGCTGCCTAGTGTGGAAGGGACAGAAAGGAGAGGGTTCCTGTCTGTCTAACCCAGGCTTCCGTACTGGAAGGATGTTGTAGTTCTCTGACAGCATCCTTTTAAAGCTTCCTCACTTCTCTTAATGGACATTTAAGGTACCTAAAATATTAGCCTTAAACATATTGGTATGATTTTTATGCCTAAAGAAAAATATTCCACAAAAATAGATTTGAGCTTATATTTTCTGAATTTTTCAAATTATATTTCGTCACTTTAAAGTGATTATACAGAGATTTCTCCTGGCCTTATATGAATCAAACTTAGAGATTCTAAAAGTGCTTGGGGAACCTGCAGTTAGTTGTAAGGAGCTGTCACTCCAATAAATACAGCACGTCAAGTTACAGCCATGAGAATATGCAAATGGTGGATTAGGACTTATGTGAACTTTTCAGCCTAAAATTTGAATGAGGTGTGAAAGTTCAAAGAGATCATGGTAAGCTTCTTGGATGATTTGTTACAATGCAGAGCAGAGTTTCCATACCACGATGAAGTCACTAAAGCCTGTGTCTTTTGAGACTCTTTGTCATAAGGTAGGAATTTAAAACAAGCACACCCTTAGCCAGTGGCTTCAGATGTCACTTGAAAATAACTTTTATTCTCTGCCAGTGTTGCTCTGACTCAGCAGTCAAAGCAGAGGGTCTCCCTACCGAAGAGGTTTTAGTGGGCTTTTCAAATACATTTTTATAGAGCAGATACTAAGAAGATAGTTGTTCTGTGTGGGAGTGCTACCCACAGTCTATGTAAGAAACTCTCTTCTACCCCGACAGAAGTCTATGCTCACACTGATTGCTGACATGCTGACTTTCAGGCCCCCTTGTCATCTATTTATGAGACACTTTTAATGCACACATAAATCTTGGTTATAAGATAATTAGTATTAGTTCCTTAAATTAACATAATATCTGTCAACTAATTATATAGAGCTATCGTAAGGGTAAAAACAAAATAAATGATCAGTGGTTGTGACTGCAAACATGTCAAGTACAGACTTCTTTTCCACTGCCCTGTGCACCTCCTCCATGTAGTGGCTTCCTTGGGACTGTTTGGGCAAGCATGAATACTGTAGCAATTAGCCCTCTCTGTGTGGCATTTATGGCCAGTTCTGTTAGACGTCTACAACTGGCTGATAATGCTATAGATACCGTCTTCTAGCTGGCTATCAATGACAGTCATAGACTTGGGGGTGTACTTACACTCCCGCAGTGGTAGGGAAGGCCCCTGGCTATCAATGACAGTCATAGACTTGGGGTGTACTTACACTCCTGCAGTGGTAGGGAACAGAGACCCTATTCATACAGTTAAGGGTTATTGAGGAGTATCTCTAATGTCTTCAGTACAGTGTACATCTAATTATATTCCAAATCACTTCCTCTGGACAGTTTCTTTCTAACTCCCATCTCTCTCATTCAGTTAAAAACACCTCATCCTGGATTTACCGAAACAGGGAGCCGTGCTGAGGACCTGGTCCCTGTCTTCCCCAGAGCGTGTGTCCCCCGTTTTCTTCGTCTGTTCTCCAGTGTGCACTGTTTCAATTCTCTGAGAGTTGAACTCCTAGGTGCAGGGATGCAGCATTTACTCAGAGTGGAAATCTGAACAGTTCTTAACTTGAGTTCCTTTCATGAGAACCATTCTCAAAACAAACAAAAACAGATTACAGAATTAAACCGTACACTTTCAGAATAGAGTGTGGCAATGGTGACAAATAAAATATTCGAAGTTCTCATTTTGAACACCATTAGACTCTCTGTTGCCACATGCAAAATTATATTGATTCAATGACTCTGAGAAAATCCTACAAAGAAGATTTTTAAAATATATAAAGGGTGGGCTAGTTCTCAACATGATGAAGTTTTGTGGTAAAGCAATATTTAACAGATAATGATTGCTTAATTTTTTAATACAAGGTTCTCTTAAGTTCCGATTTGGGCTTGCTGTGCGTAAAGTGTGTCAAACTTCAGCTACAGACCAGGGGGTGAAGTCGGTCAATTTAATTCCGCAAGATCTGAAGAAGGTCGGTATCATTTCATATGGCCAGCCCCGGCAGAGCAGAGCATTACCGGGCACAAATCTGCTCGTTCGTGCTGGGGTTTCTAGCAAAATAAATAGACTGTCATCATAAGTTCAGAAAATTGTGTGTTCGACCCACGATAATGTGTAAAGGGCGTTTAATAGAGTTCAGCATTTATTCGTTATCTGTATGCGGACAGAGACGGCAGTGGCGTTATCAGCTTAAAAAAAAAATTCGGGAGTTCTGGGAGTCACATGACACGCCTCACACGCTTACACACAGAGGCGCGCATGCGCGCACACCCACCCATCCTGGCATGCTCCACGGTGCAGTTTTGATTTTAGTAACAGCACAAGGCTTAACCACAAGAGATTCCACTGGTTCAAACCAGCGTAAACCAGATTTTTTTTCAGCCCACAAAGGAACAGATTACCTCTTGTATCAAATTCTGCATTCTGGGTGGGGTTGTGAGGAGAAATCTTTGTTTCAAAACAAACAACAACAACAAAAAAGATGTGGATCACCATAAACCAACATGATGGTTTTGCACACTTTCATGGTGTCTATGATGGAGCCAGTAACTCAGTCAATGTCCAAATCACTACTTCTAGTGGAGTCTAAGCCTTGTTAATTTTCAAAAAGTGACCATCTTTGTTTACTCCGATGCTTAACTCTCAGCCTAACCCCACCCCCACTCCCGCCCCACCCCCAAAAAAAGGGAAGGGGGGGAAAAGATGAAGATTAGAAACCTCCCTTTACCTAGCTTAGCTACAAATCCCGTGTGGGGCTTGAATGCAGCCATGCAGCACAAACAAGATAGAACGTTTTTTGTTTGGAACCCATTGAAAAAGCAAATGGGTAGCATTTTTAAACACCCTTGCTTGTGGCAGGGTGGTATGCCCCAATGGACTCTATTGCTGAAGAGGAGTTTTAAACTTTGGCCCTTTAAGTATCATAGTCAACCGAAGAATAGCGCCCCACAAAGAAAAGAGCTGTGCGATCGATTCCCACATCGTCTCTCTCTGAGATTTAGTGTTTGCGGTTTTTCTCCCGTGATGTCCAAATGGCAAAGAGAAAGATTCCAATATGTGATAGACCAGGTATCTTAGTTTAAATTTTAACTTCATCTAGAGAACAAATTTGTCGCTTTCCACGTGAAAGATGAGACACTCTACACTGGATGGTTGTGGGGAAGGGAATGAGTATATTTAAAAACAATAACATTTTGTCTGGTCTGAACTATGGCATTTAAAGTTTGACATTTAAAATTTTGCTAAGTGCAGACTGCGTTGCCATACAGTAAATTCTGAACCCTTTCTGAAAAGGGTCTATGACAATTTGAATGTCCTCCTTCTAGGTCTGAAGTACTTCCCTCTAACAAATGAAGTAACAGAATAACCTGAAA